CTAACTTAACGTTAAGTTAGCGTACCCACCTTTAGTGTTGAATATTTCGATGTTGGGGATTAGTAAAAAAATTTTAAATTTGGGTACAAATTAGTCTTTAATTAGAACAAAATTATGGGATACAATTTCTTAATATTGTGCTAACTTTACGGACATATCTCTCTTGCGAAGTCACCCTCGTTGTCATCGAGCTTCAACCCCAGGATGGTTCCCTTGCAAGCTGCTTCGCGTACAGCCTGGATATTGAAGTGATCAAATATGCGGTGCCATTCCAACAATGTCTTCTTCTTCTTCTTCTTCTTCTTCTTCTTCTTCTTCTCAAGCGCCTTCATCGCGTCGTCGTTACTGGCAACACTTCTGCAGTCCTTGTCTTGAAACGGTATATAATACAGCCCGTCGTTTCTCTTCGCCCTGACAGCTACATTTCCATGCGGGTCAACCACTTCTGCAGACGTCTTGGTGAAGGTAACACTAAATGCGTTTTCAGTGATTTTTCCCACCGAAACGAGGTTGAAACGCAGGTCCGGAACGTGAAGGGCGCCTTCAGCCACACAGTTGTCGTGGTCAAGAATCGTTGTAAGTTTTGCCACGCCCATGGCAGTTATTTTGGCGCGTGCACTTCTGGTAAGATTGAGTTTGTCTTTCACGACTGCGTCGATTCTCGCGAAATCGCCCATATCTGGGCACAAATGTGCGGAACATCCGCTCTTCAGGCACAATTTCTTTTCCTCTTTCGTGGTCTGTCCCAAACACGCCTCGTATGGGGTGTCTGTAGGCGAAGCGAGAAAACTTTACGTCCTCCGCATTTCTTGCGTTTGCTTTTTCGCTTCTGCAATCCGCCGCTTTATGTCCAAATTTATGGCATTTATGACATTTGAACTTAAAGGGCTCTCTCTTGGGCCCTTCACCCTTTTCGTTGACATTTTTCTTGAAGTTCTTCTTCTTGTAGTTGTGTGCTGCCATCACATTCTGCGCTGTGCCGTGGTTGTCGGCACATTTCCTCGCGTCATTTTCTTCCACAATGCGCAATGCCTCCGTAAGCGGTAAATCGTCGCGAGATTCTATTGCACACCGGAAGTTCTTAAGATGGGCGGCAAACCCGCAGCATGTTATATAGCAGCATGATGGCGATTAGGTCATTGTTGATTTCTATGTCCTTGTCGGGTAGCTTGTCCACAGCGTTGAAAAACCTCGAGAGATGATCACGCACACTCTCCATCTTCTGTAGCGTGAGCTGCTTTAGCAGGGTTGCTTGCTATCGGCGTCCGTCCACGCCCTTATTCTGGCTGCAGAATCGGCATCATTTTCAATAGGTTCCGGTTTGACACGATTTCCGTAACGTCCGACGTAATTCCATGCGTCGTTCTTGATTAGCAGGGCATCCATCTGAATCTTCAATGTGTCAAAATTGTCCTTGTTAAGCGTTTCAATACGAGCCAAGCTTCTGGGATTCATTTTTATGAAACGCTGATTGCTTTGTTTAACCTCTAATTGACCACGCGAATGTTTCCGTTATGGATCAGTCACTTCGTGGCACTCTCTAACGCGAATTCTGGAACCATAACCCATAAATCCTGGAACCATAACTGTTACGATTTTGTTGGTGGATCTGGGGTGCTGCTTGAGACAAAGACACATCATATAACAGATAACTTCACTATTCACTGCTTACACTTCCAATTAAAGATGACAGACTCTGCACACACAACACATTCAACTGACATGCATACAAAAGAATACAAAGCCACAGAAGTGGCAGATACACCCAACCTAAGAGAGCAAAGTTCAATTTATTCCTCACATCCACAATAACAGGGTTTACATTACATGTATCACAAGTATGTAATTATAGTATTCCTTGAAAGCAGCAAAACGTGGTAGCACAAAAGTGGCAAACTAGTGTGCGACGGCCATGGGGTCGTGTTTTTTAAATACAATTGATAATTATTGATTTTTGGGTCCCCACTGTTAATGCCACTTAACCCTGAAAAGAGAGTGGAGGATTGACACTACGAAAATTTTTATTGAATGACACTCAGATGCAATATTTCAATGTTGCCCCCATAGGCTTGGCAAAGTTGTAGAAGATGCAAGAAAATTAACATTATATGCTGTCATTCAAGCAAATTGGTGAAATAGTTTTGAAGGAGATAGTTGAAATATCAGTAGTATTCAAGTTAAAAAATATCAATTCCCATCAAACAAGCAGCATAATGCATTGCCGTGGATGTCACATTCATGGCCATTACTAAATATTCTTTCTGGAATTTTCAGGTTGAATATCAGAAACCCACAAAAAGATTCCTGAGGGATTCAGATTCATAAGAACAGTTAATTCTGCTCAACTGATTGGTTGGGGAAATTAGCACTGTGTCCAATTAATTTCAGTTTGTTTTCTTCTAACCTTTGTCCACAGAGGATGAGAAAACTCGTACTCAACCCATTTTAATGTTAAAATATTTGGATCTTTAAAACAAACCTCATTCTGTTTCAAGGCAGGAATGAGAACGTGCACAGAATACACTTCTCCTCCCAGTACAACACACACATTTTTTAACTGTTTTTGAAGTTAAATATATAGCTATATATATATAGATAGATAGATAGATAGATAGATAGATAGATAGATAGATAGATAGAAAGAAATATATCTTCATTAAAAATAACTCCATACCTTGCATCATCTCCAGCTGGGATTAAATTCATCATTCCAAAAAATGCAAATCGGTGATGTACTTTGACATCTTCATCCATTCCACGGAAATCCATTCTATGAACTTCAATAAGATTCCCAGTGTCCAGAAGGACTAATTCATAATAATGAAGACCTCCTTTAATTATGAAGTTCACAATCATTGCTGCCTTCCATGAATTTACCACATTGACAGCAACAATCTACAGAAAAGTAATAGATTCATACAATGATCACACAGAAATTAATAGATACAAATTCATTCAACAATACAGCAATTTAATAAATACTATTTTGCAATTTACAAAGAACAAATTTGCAGAAAAAGAAAAATGACAACTAAAAAAAATTGGAAATGAAGAAGATAGGAGACTAAATTCTATCATGAATTGTTACACTTCAAGAAAATTATTCGCAGCAAAACAAAAATGTGTGACATCTTAAACAAATTATACTACACTGGTAAAAACTTGTTACATAAATATGGACATTACAGGCAGGGTAGACACATTTCCCATGGAAAAAAATTGAAGCAGTTTTTGAGAATATTATAATTTTTGTATGAATTGTATTAATCTCAAGTAGAAATTACACAAATACATCTCATTATTTCAAAAAATTGTACATTGCTATTTTAAAGATCTTGTTTCTCTTAACAGATTTTAAGGCTAAAATCTATCTTAAATTTTGTCGTTTTGGAATATTAACGTTCTGTAATTTTCTAAAATACGCAAGTTTGCAAGAAATGTGACTAGCACCAATTTTTTTTATCATCCTTTGAATAGTATTACGAGAAAATTTAATGAAAAAATTTGGAGCCGTTTTTGAGAAAAAAAAATATATAATTGCCCATATTCCACGCAAAAATATGGGAAAACTACTCATATCTTTGAAGAATGTTTCAAGAAATCTTTAAAGAAAGGTTTTCATTAAGAAAAAAAATATTTTCAATATTGTAGTTGGTGGAAGACGCTGGAATTAATGTAAACTTCTGCGATCTTCGAAAAATTAGGGATTTCAACGAAAATAATTCTTGTACCTTTTTAGCACCCTTTATGCTATCCAAGGGCAAAGTTTAATAAAAAAAATTGGAGCCATTTTTGAGAAAATTTTGAAAATGCTTAGAGATTTAATATAAAGTAATTTGTATTAAAAAAATTAAAATATCCGCATGAAACTCAGAGGGCTTCGAGTTCCTTTCAATCAATCCAGGCATACCAATTTGAGAGAAAATCGACGAAACTGTTTTAGCGCTATCGATGACCATAGATATCACACACGTTTTGCCATCAATAGATTTTCGATATCAAGGACCCACGAAAAATTTAACTAAATAAAGGAGCAAGATGTATCGGCTTTCGCAGTATCAGGGACAGACAAAATAGTTTTCTGTCGAAAAATAGCCGTTTTGCTGCTACATTCCAATTTCTCGAATTTATTTACATTTTCAGCTCAGTTGCATTGAATAAATGGTAAAGTTTAAAAAATTGTTGCGTCAAAACAATTATTTTATGACATTTTACATCAACAATGACTTTTTGCACTGTTTAACGTACAGCAATCGACTGCAATCTCGAAGTTCTGCGCATGTGTAGATACACGTGATGTGAAACGGGAGATATTGTGCAGCATTACCAACAGCAATCGACTATCTCAATTTTCTATGCATGCGCAGCTGCACAGAAGTGTTGCGAAACTCGAACAGCGCATGCGCACATCGATAGTAGTGTTGATTACTGTAACGCTTCACATGTGAAAACTCCCTATTCATTGAACGATATAAAGAAAGTTGTTAGGGAGTTTGTGCCAGCCTTAGAGGGAAGCAATCGACTACATTTTTTAGTCTCTACGTTTGCGCCAAGTAGAAATTGAACTTGAAGTGATAGCGAAGCCCACCAGGCCCCGCAATTTTGCCGGATTTTGCGGGCGACAAGCACATGGTAATTGTTCATTCCACCATTTTATATGAAATTTGTTCCTGACTGTGGCAGCAGAGTGTGCTGCTAACTATTTCTATGGCGCTATTATCGCACTGACTTTTCGCTTTCGCCAACTGATTTGGATTTGATTTAAGTTTAATTTAGTGCTATATGAGTGCTAATGCTAGCCTCACGGTTTTCAATTGCTCGAAATCATCGTCAGTTGTAATTAATTGGATATATAGTAAAAGGCTTCACAAGAAATAGGAAACTATCAATTAAAGTATCTAAAGTGCGTAGTGAATTCACTGGTTAGATCAAAGTGAATTACTCTCGCGGAAGAAGAAATGTCATTAAAAAGGAAATAAAATAAAAAAATAAGAGAGTTGTATAATTTCTAGTTAGAGGGTCAAATGATAAAAGTCGGTATTATAATGGGACGGTCGCACATAGCAGATGACGACACGAACGAAATAAATTTTATTTAATTAAGAACCGCGCCACCCGTTAAGAGCAGCCTCATATGTACTTCATTTCTGTTATAGCTATATTTTCATAAAAATACTAGTATTGAATGTGAGTAATGGGTACAATTTAATACTGAATTTTATTTATAAGCATTTATAATATATTTAGTAACTATATATATATATATATATAATATATATATATATATATATATATATTAAGTAATGAAAATTTACAAAAGACGCAAATAAAGTTACATGAACTGAACAGGACAGAATAGCTGATGACAATTTTACAGTAGCAACATACTCTTGTCCCGATTTGGAACTTCTTCCATTGCGACTTATACGTTTCGATATAACCGTGCAAAAGTTCTTTCTCGATTTCATCCGATATTGATATCAACAGTGCTCTCGATTGCTTTTACGTTCGAGGTGGCACAAACTCCCTATTAGAGTTTTTGCACCCTCGAAAGTTAAACCAATCGATAGCAATATCGATCTTCTGCACAAGCGCAGTGCAAGTTCCGTATCACTAGTTTGTGCCAGCCTTAGCTGGAGGCAATCAACTGCATTTTTGGGTCTCTACGCATACACCAACTGTAAATCGAACTCAGAAGTATTATGGGAGCCCAGTGATCTCAACTATATAAACTGGATTCACAACTACAAAGCTGGAAATCCTACGGGAGCGTGTCGCCTGATTCTGGTGAGTTGGCGAATCTGGGGCGTATTCCAATGCGTCTATTAGTACGTGTTTGGTACGGCGTGAAAATTTTGTGGCTTTATTTCGTTTAATTTGCTTTTAACAAAACCAGTGGTAAAGTAGTGTATTGCATGTGACCCCAAACTACGCCAGGAAAATAGGAAGTGGGATTCAGTTTCACAAGTAAGAGATTTCTCTTTCCAAATGTATGTGAAATTGCGATGCTGGGTCACAACTCCAACTATAAATACGACATAAATAGCTTTACGCGGATTCTCGACCAGAAATTTTGAAGAAATGGATTCATGCTGTCCGAAGAGAGAAATGGAAACCACCCATAAGTAGCACACTGCAGCAAACATTTTCTTGAGGATTGCTATCAGGGTAATATTAAATATAGTATTTATTTGATGGTTATCTTTGTTTCCAACAGTATATGTGAAGTCAATTTACCTCAGCTGTATATATGCTTATAATCTATTACATTTGTAGGTAAGACCAGGAGTGAAAGTCATGTTACTGAAATAAGATGCAGTTCCTTCTGTTTGATTTTTCTGTTCATCTCGGAAAAAAGAAAAAATCAACCATCACTGAGGCGACCTTTAATGTGATTGGAATCTTCGAAAGGCTGCTCTTCACATTCGGCATTCGCCAAGCAGCGAGCTACTGCTTGCCCAATCCCGAACAGCTGAGTGTTCGGCGAATGGTCGCTCCCTTTGATGTGTCCTAATGACCGACACGCGGTGGATAGGGCGAATGCCGAATGTTTGGCGCTCGGCGAATTTCGAGAAACCCGCCCACACTAGTTGGAATTCGGCGAGCGGTTGCTCGGGATTTGCCGGATGCCGCAAGTGTGGTCAATAAAACAAAAATGATCAATAAAATGCTTTTAAAAGGTTTTTAAAATGCCCTAAAAGCAAAGAAAAACGACATAAAATGGATTAAAACCATTTCAGAGAATTAAATTATATCGATTTTGAGCTATGAAGACGTTTTGAAGACGAAGTTTTTTCAGAGAAAAATTAAATCCCTTGAATATGTTACTGATGTAATTGAGACTTCTTCCCATCATTCATGTGAACTCAGATTGCTAACTTAAGTTTCGACTGTTCTTCACTAGATCTCTCTCTTCTTTTCTAGGATGGTCACAAAAGTCACTTTACTTTTCAGGCAAGTGAGCTCAGTACTGAATTACAAATAATATTAATAGCACTGTATCCGAATACTACAAGAATTCTCTGACCAGCAGATGTCGCTATACTTCAACCAATCAAGAGTGCGTGGAAGAAAGGAATGCTAACATGGAGTCGAGAACATCCTTCTGAGGCTCTCTCTAGAAAAGACTTCGCCCCAGTGTTGGTGTAGGCAGTGCGCGCAATAAAGCCAGAAACTTTTCAAAATGGTTTTAGAGCTTGTAGCTTTGCTCCATGGAATCCTGAGAGCATTGATTTTATTAAATGTCTAGGGCGGATGTAGTACGACATGGCATTAAATGTGGATAATGTAGACATTGTTACCACAAAACAGAGAACAAATCATTGACTTACGAAAACTGCGATATTGTTAGAGAAGGAAGAGTATAAAAGTTCAATAACGTTAAGCAGAAAACACACTAAAGGAAGCAAGTAATCGGGTTACCCTCAGGAAAACAAGAGTCAATTTTACACAAAGAATGACGAGCGAGGTTCAAACACATTTAGAGGAAGTGAAAGAAATATTGGGCACATTTGTCAGTCGAGCACTTACTTCTACAGGCAGTTGCAAAATGGAAAGACGCAGCAACAAGTTTATTTCCTCCAGAAACCCACAGTCGAATTTTCTTCAGAAGAGATTCCAGTGTGGAAACACATTCAATGTTAAGAACTACGGTGTTTTCTGCCAATTGTGTCAAAAACTATGTTTTACACACTATGCCTTTGTTCATAGAGAAGTTATTTGGACGACGAAAATATATTTGTGTAAAATGTTTAGACTTATTAAATGACTGAAGCTTAATAAATCAGTAGTAGCAAGCCAATTGTGTTCAACAACGCTATTTGATTTCGCTAGGGTTTTTATAATTCATTTTTCTGAGTGCCCATCACTACATCACAAAGTGCCCACAATAGTCT